TTTTTCAATAAAATGTAAGCTATATATTTTAGTATAGCTAAAATTTAGGCTCCTTCCTACAAAGCCTCACCAGATCTAACAGTTCCTTTTGAGCCTAAGCAATGTCAGCCTTTGCACATAAACAGGTTCCCAGCTCAGTGAAGCTATGCAGTAAAAGTGCATGTGGCATTAGATGTCTTTTCTCTTGTAGAAGAGACTGTATTTTAGGGCATTTTGGCTCAAACCTTAGTAGAACTGTATATTGTCAGGGATTATGTAGCATATGTAAAAACTAGTTCATGCCATGTAAAATATAAAACATGGCAAGGATTGATGGGTGCTACCTGCATTGTTCTAAATATGACTCACTGACCGACGCTGAGACCATGACAACCACAGAGGACATCTCTGCATAGCCCCTGGCAGAAATCCATAGGCCACAGACAGAACTGGTTCTATCAAGCGGAAAATGTAAATACTAAATAATATTAGGAAGAGAAAAGGTACTTTACATGCAACAACAGATAAAAAGAAGTGCTGCTCACATTAGGTGATTAACAATCAGCCAGCCGGCCATTAATTCAGCAAATATTTACTGAATCCTCACCAGGTACCAGATATTGTTCTAGATTTGGGGTACAGTGGTAAATAAGAGACAAGCCCCCCTTTCTTAGGGTGGTTATATTTTAAAGTAAAAAGATAGACAACACAGAGACAAAAACAAACAAGAGAAGACCCAGTGATAAATATAAGGATGAAGGAACTCCAGGTGCTGTAATAGCAACTGGGTGGTCAGGTTCAGCTTTTCAAAAGCAGTGGCCCTCGAGCTAAAATTTGGATGACAAGAAGGAACCTGCCACATGAAGATCTGGGGAAGCATGTCCCTGCAGAAGACAGAGCAGGGACAGTGAGCAAGGAGGTTGTCCTGGGAGAGGACAAGAGTGTGCCCCTGGGGCTCATGGGGTGACTGAAGAACAGAAGGAGCTGGAAAGAGGAGCAGGTGTCAGGTCAAGAGGCAGGATGATGACCAAAAAAGGACTTGAAAATGGAATAAAATGTTAGATAGAAGGAATACTGGAATCAGATGATATAAAAATGTAAGTGAGAGGTTTTGGAAAAACTTGCCATGCTCCAGGCATGATTTTCATCTGGGTTTCACTAGTGTTTAAAACCATCTCTAATGAGGCCAATCTGTAGCACCATTCTTTACTTGTTTTGAAATGAAGAATGAGGCACTTCAAGTTCTTTTAAGAATTTTATATCCTGGGGCGCCTGGGTGGCTCAGTGGGTGAAAGCCCCTGCCTTCGGCTCAGGTCATGATCCCAGAGTCCTGGGATCGAGCCCCGCATCGGGCTCTCTGCTTGGCAGGGAGCCTGCTCCCGCCTCTCTGCCTACTTGTGATCTCTATCTGTCAAATAAATAAATAAAATATTAAAAAAAAAAAGAATTTTATTCCCACTACAGTGTCTGTAACTTACCACTTTCTCCTTGATTACCAACATAACACATGTTTATGATGGAACATTTGGAAAATACAGATAAGCTAGTGGAAGAAATAAAACCACTCCAAAGTCATCCACCTGATAAAACTACTGTCAACATTTGGGCACAGATTTTCTTTATGCTTATACAGGGCAGTGACATGGGCTCTGGAGTCCAGGTGAAAATCATGGCTTTGAAACTTGCTAAATGAGTGCTACTCATTTTTCAATCAATCTCAACTGCTTATAAGATGCCACATAACTATGGGGCGCCTGGGTGGCTAAGTGGTTTAAAGGCTCTGTCTTCGGCTCAGGTCATGATCCCAGGGTCCTGGGCTCGAGCACTGCATCAGGCTTTCTGCTCAGCAGGGAATCTGCTTGCCTGCCTCTCTGCCTGCCTCTCTGCTGACTTGTGATCTCTCTCTGTCAAATAACTAAACAAAGTCTTTTAAAAAAAAAAACGCCACGTAACTGAAATCTCCTTAAGCCTCGGTCTTCTCATCTGCAAAATGGGAATAGTAATGTTATCTTCTTTGTAGGACTACTATGAGGATTAAATAAGATCATCCATATAGTGCTCCTGACTGGCACCCCGTATGTACTTCTAACATGTTAGGTACTATGCCATTATCATTTTGCAAAGTTGGGACCATATTGTAAGACTGTCAGTAAATACATTCTTATTCCAATCATCAGTAGATATTTTTACCTGATCTTAAGTATTTTTCCATAATGTAGTTTTTAATGGTTACACAGCATTTTCCTAGAGAGATATAATTTAGCTAATTCCCAATTACGGGACACTGGGGCTGTTCCCAAATTTTCACTATTTAAAAAATATTGTAAACTTTCCTGGTTATTTCTCTAGGATAAATTGTAAGGTGTGGCTGGGTCAAAGGGCATGTGTATTTGGAGGCATTTCATCCTATCTTCTGCTGGGAATTAAATTATACCCTTGGATAAGAATAATGTTGGGAAGTAAATAGTCCATAAACATGTGCAATTTTGTAGGTCTGATTTCCCATCAACTTAGTGAAACACTCCCTTCTACCCCTTGCCTTTTCTCTCCACATTTGTTCCTACCTTCTGGTCAGCAGCAACCTCCTTCATTCGCTAAGGAAGCTTCTCAGTTCCAGGCTTGCAGATGAGCCAATTTGCTTATAATTTTCTGATCTGCTGAGAATTCTGTACTTCCTATTCATTTCACTTGAAGCCATAAACTCATAGGGTTTTAGTATATTAGAAATGCAAGCCCCTCATCTTACAGATGAGGAAACTAAAGTAGGCAGAGCAAATGGTCCGTCCAAGCTGGTCCTCTGGTCCATGCTCTCAGACAGCTAGGCGGGATTGTCTCATTTCGTTGTCTCTAGTACCTGATGCAGCAGTCAGCATGTGCAGACAGCCAGTATTTCTTTCTTTCTTTTTTTCTTCCCCCAAGTTTTTATTTATTTATTTGACAGGGAGAGAGAGAGAAATAGAGAGATCACAAGTAGGCAGAGAGGCAAGCAGAGAGAGAGGAGGGGAAGCAGGCTTCCTGCTGAGCAGAGAGCCCGATGCGGGGCTCGATTCCAGGACCCTGGGATCATGACCTGAGCCGAAGGAAGAGGCTTAACCCACTGAGCCACCCAGGGGCCCCTAGCCAGTATTTCTTGTTGAATGAATGATTACTTGAATAACTTACAACCTCTAAGGATTCTAAGCTGGAAAGGATCATAGACGTGTGGAACCTGAAGCCTATATTGGTTAATGTAATGTATGTCATCATGTAGCTATTAGTGGCAAGTTGGAATAACAAATCAGTCTCTCAATTCCCAGGAGAGACAAGGAGACACCAAGAGAAGACAAGCCTTCATGGGCTCAGGTGGGCATCATTTAGAGAAGGGACTAAACTAATTCTGCCTTGGTCCAGAGAGAGCAAAGCCAACACTAAGGAAAACTGGAAGTTGCTGGTAGGCCAATTTCAACATAATATAGGGAAGAGGTTTTTAAGTAGTTAGAACTATTAAAATGGAAGCAGGTTTTCTTGAAAAGAATTTGCCACTAATTTGAAGTATTCAAGTAGAAACAGGGAAGGTTTGAATAAATAATTTATCAAGTACATTTGAAAAGAAAACAAATTTTATTTTATATGCCTGGTTGGGATATATGACTTCTAAGGCCTCCACCAAAACTAAAATTAAATGATTTTATGAATATATGTATACACACACATGCACACACACAAATAAATGAATAATTTTGTAATTAAGACTTCTGAGGTTAAACCCATTGTTTTTCTGGGACCAGATAAATTCTAATGGCTTTATTGATTCAAGATTCTATGATTCTATATCATCTTCTATTTAATGATAATTCAGTGTGGTACACATAGTAGGAGTTCAAAAGATGAATTTAATTAGCTCCAAAGTCTGGAAAAATCTACATTTAAGATAAGTTCAGTACAGGCTCCGTGTAGGTGAACAAGTTGATTGAACTCATCTCATCTCAATCAAATATATCAGTTGATTACACAGGAACACTAATGCATTAATTTTTTTTTAAATTAGAAAAGGATAAAATTAAAAGAAGAAATTTGGGTGGATTGTATTATGATGAGATAAGGTGGTTTTCTCACTGGATTGCTGAATATGATATGAGATTATAGCTAGAATTACTTCTTAAAATATAAAGAACACTTTTAATATGAAACTGCAAATATGATATAATTACACTTGAAGTATGGAGCTACTGAAAGACTATTCATAGTATAATTTTATCTAAATCCTAGTGGTAAGACAGACACATAAATGAACTGTATCACAGGTATACTTTCAATCTTTAAGATTTCATATTCGTGATAGAAATGGAGGTCCTAGCAAGTTCCTACTTGGGTTTGGTGAAAGGCTCCATTCTTAATAACAATCTAGCGAAGCTTTGAGGAGTGTCGTAGATAGCATCTGTGATGCACTCTTTGTGATTCCAACTAGGAAGGAATCTCATTGGAAGGTCAGATAAGGAAATTAAAGTTCAAATTAAGTATTTCATTTGCTTTATCAGCATTGTCATTGTTTTGGACACTGTTAACAGTAAAAATTTATGGCTCAAGTTAGGATGGGTTATTCGTTGGCTTGACTATCTCAGTCATGCTTTTTATCCCACTCGGGAAAATGTGTATTTCAGGAGCAGCATAACCTTCTCTGTCTTAGGCATTACGCTAAATCCTAGAGAGAGAAAAATGTCAGGGATGAACATTGGCCTCACAGAGGCATAGCAAAGACATAGGATGGTTCATCATGGAACCCAGACTAGCTCAGATCATTCTGACCCAGACTCCAGACAACAGATTGCTTATCCATCACAGAATTGGCATGGGATTTAACATCTGTTAATCACCTCTGGTGGCAAGTCAAAAGTTCTCTGGTAACAAATCTCATTCTAAAAGTTCTCTGGTAATGAATCTCATTCTAACAATCATTATCATGGTTGTTTCATGTCAAGTTTCAGTTTTTGAATTCCACTTCCAGAAATATGAAACAGAAAAAATAATTTTAAAAAAGGTACCTCCACTGCTGCTTTTGCCCTTTCAAATTCTTCTTCTAAGGAGTGGTTTCTGGAAAGTAACGCACTTCCCCAGCGCTGCTCTTTGGTCAGTCGAGCCTGAAATAAACCAAACACGTGGTGTTATACTACTGGAATCACAGAACACAAAAATCCAAATATTTTCCCTTTTCTCATATTTCCCTAGAGTTTAAGAAGCATCTGCAAAGGATGTTATTTTTGGAGTACTTTGTAAGCATGATGTTGCCCAAACTGGGATGGTGCCAAAATGTGTGTGAGCATGCATGCATCTTTTTTTCCCCCAAAGATTTTATTAATTAATTTGAGAGAGACACAGAGATAGCTAGAGAGAACAAGAGTAGGGAGGAGAGGGAGAAGCAGGCTCTTTGCTGACCAGGGAGCCTGATGCGGGGCTCAATCCCAGAACCCTGGGATCATGACCTGAGCCAAAGGTGCAGCTTAACCAACTGAACCAGACAGGTGCTCCAAGCATGATTCTTTTAAGAGTGCATCTCAGCCCTGGTCATGTTAAAACCAAAACCCAGGCCCAGATCTTATTAACATAAGATCTTATTTTAATTGCTCATGGTTTCAGGCATTGATATTTTATTAAGTACCCCCCAGAGGATTCTAATATGCAGTTAAGATGGAGAATCTCCATTCGAAGCCTCAACCTAGGAACTGATATTCCAGCTTCCAGCTTGTTAGGAGGACTAACCTCAGGTAAGACTGCAAGCTGCAAAGATGGGAGGTGGCTGCTGGGCCCTTATATGCACAGCAGATCCTCATGCTGAATTCTCTTTCCTTTGCCTACCCTCTATTAGCACACGTTTGTCTCATGTCCCGTTTCCTCAGGGCATTGTGCTGCTAAATAGTCATTGCTTAGATAAACTCATGTTTGATAATGCCGACCAGTTTTTCACAATTAACAGGCAACGTGATATACATCTTATTTTAGCTAAATGCAAATATTCCAGAGGCCAGCCCCACCAAGAGTGCTGGGATTACAAAAATGTTATTTATTGTTAATTTTACAAACACTAAATGCATTCTTTTTGAAAAAAATAATCATGGAAAATAAGAAGTAAACCTCTAGAACTTCTTTTCAGTTTCATATATATTTATGTACCCTCGGTAGTAATGTGTTTCAGAAAGTTTCAAAATATAAATGGTATGCTATTCTGTAGCTTACTTTTCTCCATTCAACAATATATCTTAGAGAGGTACCATATTTAGTATTTCTAGAGCTACCTCATCCTTTCCCAGGGATTTCCTAGTAAGTATATACTGTAGTTGGTTCAGACCTCTCTCCATGAGCAGTTGTGGTATTTGTGATTTTTCTCCACGTAACTGCTTCTTTTCTTGGCTATCTTTCTACCACACCATGTGATCCATGAGGGTCGGATTCTGTCTGGTAAGTCTTGTTCTCCCCTGTACCTAGCCCACAGCCTGACAGGTGATGTGAATCCTAAGGATGTTTCTAGACTACAGGCTGAGGGATTGCACTGATAAGGCAGCCAGACCTTGGGGAGCAGGAGGAAGGAGTCTTGTGAAGTGAAGCCCCCCTCTGCCCTTTTATCACCTTTTATCCATGTGTTTGATTGCTCTCCTTTAGGATGCTCAACCTTGGCTTCTATGGGAATTAATTGAGCAGGCCTGGGCCCCGCTCTAGACCAGTTAAAGAATTTCTGGGGGTAGGGCCTGGGCATTAAAAGTTTGAAAAGCTCTTTTGGGGGCACATGGGTAGCTCAGATGGTTAAGCATCTGCCTTCAGCTCAGGTCATGATCTCCAGGTCCTGGGATTGAGTCCCGAGTTGGACTCTCAGCTCAGTGGGGAGTCTGCTTCTCCCTCTGCCTGCCCTTGTGCTCTCTCTGTCTCTCTCTCTCTTAAATGAATAAATAAAATCTCAAAACAAAACAAAAAGAAGAAAAGCTCTTTTGGTGATTTTTGAAAAGCAGCCATGTTTGGAAACCATTGTTCAATAGGAAAACTTTGGCCTTCACTCAGCACCATCTATACAGCTTAACTGCTTTTCATTTTTTCTCCATGACCACTGGTCCTCAAGAGGACCCCCAGCCCCTTATTATCACACAGTAGTAATACGAGGGCTCACTACATGCCAGATGCTGCTTTAAGTCCTTTAGAAACTATTACTCACTTTGTCTCTTCAACAACCAGTGAAGTCGGTATTATCATTAAGTCCATGCCATTGAGGCATAGAGAACTAGTTAACATGGCACACAGCACACAGCTAGTCAATGGTAGGGCTGATGTTTCTGGGCCATGTTCATAACCACTGCACTATACTGCCTCTCATAGGGGCTGTGCTCCCCTGGCCATTTCGGGAAGACGCAAAATCTAGAAAACATGTGTCTCAGAGGTTCATGCATGGCTGAGGGCACCAATCAAGAAGCCCCCAAGAATATTATGGGCTGAAAACAATAATGAAGTCATTGTTATGAACACTTCTGAACATAAATAGTAGTCTTAGACTGTGTTTTGCATTAATCAACAAGGAAGGTTAATTTATCGAAACATTAATTTATGTTTCCTCCTCCTTGATGTATTCACTGCTGTATCCCCTGGTATGTCCTATAAATAGTAGCTGATCCATAAACAGTAAATATTTGTTGAAAATATACTGTAGGGGAATATATGAATTGCTGAATTAAAGGTCTTTCTCTTGCTAGGCCTGTTAGCAGCACAGGGGAAAGGCCTCTGGTGCTGTGTCTGTGGTCAGAAGAGGAAGAGGATGCTGAGGCTGCGTCTGCATAGCCATCAGTGCCTCACGCTCAGGTGGGCCAGGCTCAATGGCCACCATGAGCAAGAACTCTCTTACTCTCTGGGCTGCATGCAAGCTACTACTTTCTCCCAACCCAGATAATTGAGGTGGGGCTGGGGAGAGGGAGATTCTCAAATATAAGTGAGATTGATTACCACAGGTTCCTGAGATTAAGGTATGAACAGAACTTTATTGGGGGCCACGATTCATCCCACTACAACCCTTGTCTGACACTCTTGGGATACAATACATTTGATTAGCAAATATAAAGATGAAGATTGGGCCACCTGGGTAGCTCAGGTCACGATCTCAGGGTCCTGGGATTGGGTCTCGAGTTGGGTTCCCTGCTCAGCAGGGAGCCTGCTTCTCCCTCTGCCTCTGCCCCTCCTCCCTGCTCATGCTCTCTCTCTCTCTCTCTCTCAAGTAAATACATAAAATCTTTAAGAAAGAAAAGGTGCAGATGGTTTACAACCTTTCAAAATTGATAAGCTGTTAGGATGTTACAGCCTGGTAGAGATGTTAACCCCAAAGGCATTATGATCTTTTTGTCTTGTAGAAATTAACCAGTCCTGTATCATACTTGGCAAACTTATTTTGGCATTTCTTTCCCAGCCAGCTCCGTAAATCTCTGTTCTTTTACTTTGGAACTAGCTCTTTTGTCTTCCTGCTGGCTCCCTCATTAATGAAATAAACAAACAAATAAATTTTAAAAAAATGTGGACAGATGGTAAGAAATAAGCTGTGCATTTATATAATAACGTCATGAATGACCCATGAATGGCATGAGAAGAAAGAGAAAGCACTAATATTTCTGTCCCAAGGCACCTCCTTTTATTAGAGGCACTTTTCACCAGTGAAATATGATCTGTCCCTCCTGTGAAGCCTGACCTAACAGAACTCCATTACTGTCACTGGCTTCCCTTCATCAATGTTTCACGACCCAAGTGGATTATGAATCACAGGATGCAAAGGGCACCATATATCAGGAAGAAGAGGCAAAGATCTCTCTCAGGATTTGAGACGTATAGTTCATATTCTCTTTGCCACTTAAAACAGCAAGTGTAAATAGAATCTTACTCTGCAAATGAACTTTTATTTCAGTAGTACAATTACTATTTAGGTAAGTCCTATTTCCCACATTTTTAGAAAGGTCTTAAGTTAGACAAGTGTTGTCTACCTCACATTTGGGAAAGCCATTTATTTTGTCCAAGGAAGCTAAGAGAAATGTTATAAAATATAGGAACACACTGAATGTAAATAAAGGCAGTTTCCAAGAGAGAGTAGTAGGCAACTGAACAGATTCTGAAACTTTTCAGCAACTTAGTAACCCACCCAGACATAGTGGTTTAGGACTGAGTATGAAGTACAGATTGTAACAGGTAGTAAAGAGCAGCCTTCCTTTCAACCAAGACTTTATTTTTGTTAACATGTAATTTCATTATAGCAAAGACTGGAATATGGGAGAGCATATATAAACAATGAACAATGAACTGTATCTATTGCTCAGTACTTAACTAGAGGAGTGGTAAGCAAGACAATTACAGCCATAAATTTGAGTCGAGGCTGTTTTGGTATCACAGTGGCTGTATTAGTAGTTCTCAAGCTTGAGTGGGCACCAGAAGCATTTGGAAATCTCATCCAAACACAGATTGCTGGGCGCCACACCTGGGATTTCTGCTTCAGTGGGTGCAGGTGTGGGAGTGGGGGCCCAGAATCTGCATTCCTAACAAGTTCCCTGATGATGCTGTAACTGCGAAGGGAGGGACCTCACTCTGATAGCTTCTGATTAGATGCTGACATCATGTGCTTGCAAGTGGAACCCTGGAGTTCACAAATGTATTCTGATGTAGGCATTTTTTTGCTTCATTGCATGATTTTGAAAAATCTACGGTTACAGCAACCTCCTGGAAGGGCTTTGGCTTTAAAAACAGCCGTTTTAATAGGTTTAGGCTAATTGGATTTTAGGGTATTACATTCTCTATAGAAGAAAGCATTTTGTTCTCTCAGCTGTTGATAGTTCTGAATGATAAGCATGAGGCGAAAGATAAGAAAAAGAACTCTTTTAGAATACTGTTCTATTCTCTTTATTCAAAATTATGATTGTGATTAAAGTTATGATTTGAAGCTTACTGTATTTGTGGTTGTGGTTGTCCTAGAATAACTCTGTCAGCTAACCTCAATGTCAGTCCTTCATAACCTCTCATACAATTACCTTTACATTGCTGCTGGAAGTCTCTCACCAAAGTACATGTTTAAAAAGCTCAGTATCTTTTCAAAAAAGATTGATGGGGGAAAGGGTGCTGCTAACTATAGAAA